AGAGACTGTTTACACTTATTCAGGCTGCCAGAAGTGACAGTGGAGGGGAGGAGGAAATGATGGCATATAATTGGGAGGCAATGGGAGATAGTGAAAGAAACCATAAGGGAATATTGATTTTTGCCCCCATCCAAAGTCTCCCCTCCACACTATCTATATCATGACCAACCCTTCATAGTCTTTCCCCATCGCCCCAATTTTTTTCATTATTATGATTTTAAAAAAAATTTATTGCAAATATGTTAAGAGATGAAGACTAGCTCAGCAGCAGAATCTAGTTATTGGCTATTCATTGTGATAAGCTTGCCAAGAATTTTCAGTAGTGGGCCACATGATCAGAAATCCATGTGTTGGCAAAAGAAAGTTTTTATTGATTCCAGTGCTGATGCATAGCAAGTTTTATATTAAAAATAAGAAGAACTTTATATAAAAGTACAGTTACAAACCTAGAGTTTGCACTTGTCTCTCTAAGAAGCACATAGTAGAGTGAGGACACTGACCTAGGTGGGGGACAGAACTGTCGTTTTGTCATGGAGTAGAATGAATGTGATCCTAGGGAAAGAACTGAAGGGCTTGGGCAAAGGGGATGTGAAGATGACATTCAAAGTGAGTAAGAAGAGCAGAAGCCAGCTCTCCCTCTATTTCCACTTTAGTCTGGAGATGAAGAGGCATTTCTGCCACCCCATCCCCTCTGTCTTTTAATTCTTCCAGAGGGAGAAGGCATTACTTAAGTACTCAAAGCACAAGGCAATTACCAAACCACATTTCACTCGAGGGCAGGGTCTCTAAGCTGATGCTCCCTCATTGGCAATTGCAAGCCCCTTATTTCAGCACACTGGGAAAGGGCATGGCCAATCTCTGTCCTGTGCATATGTACTACGTTAATCTAACAGAACTATCACAATAGGTTGTGCATAAATTGTATCTGATCTGTTCTAGATCTTTCCATCACCCAGGATGGAAGTGATGGAAACCTTCCTTAGGTTTCCAAACCTACGTGGTATAATCTCATTTGATTTAACAAAGATCTCTGCCCTGGCAGAGAAGTGGTTGCTCAGTTAATAAAAAGGTATTTTTATTCTCTATTTGGCATTGTTCTCATGTGCGTATTTCTTAATTAGAAATCCCTGAATGGTAGGATTTCAGCTGCTAAACTGAACCCCTGACGCTAACACAATTTATCTTAAACAATTTTATTTTACTTCTATCCAAAGGGATCCCAAAAGAGAGGCAAAAAATTGTGTCTAAGCCAGAAGGACTACAACTAGGGTCAAGGTAAACAGGACAAGTTCATAGGGTAAATAGATAGTGAAACCACGTTCCCTTTGTTGCATAACCTGTGGATAGAGAGGACCATCATTTATTCAATCACCCATTCATCAACCAATCCATCCTTTCTTCCAGTCAGTCATTAACACATTTCTAGATTCCAGTCACGGGGCTAAGACTTCATAATCCACTGATAAACAAGTTGGGTATTATTTGAAGGAGGATGAAAAAAATGGGGAAAGAGGGTGCATGTAAATTTGCCGTGAAATATGTATATGAGTCAGAGAGAACAGGAAAAACGGCACAACATTTTCTCCCACCTTTGACCTATGCTGAAGCCTACAATAGAGTGTACTCATGAGAGACTTTTTAAGGCTCTGGACATAAGCCGTACTGATTGGAAGATCAAGTGACAAAACGAAGCAACAGTTAGAAAGAGGGCTGTTGTTTCCACTTTCCCCCAGGACCAAGTATTGACCTGTAAAGTAGATATCACCGGTATTCACCAAAATCTGCTCTCCTCTGTTTTCATATACATGAACCTGTCTGCACTTTTTGTCCATCTTGCAGTTAAAGTAGAACCATAGTGATTAGTTACGGCATCTGCAGCCCGAAGCAAAGAGCTAGTGATTAACCACCATTAAGTGATCAATTTAAACCTGCTTAGTTGACCAGGGAGGCTTCATGGAAAACGGCTGCCCTAAGGGGTTGCCCAGAACTATATTGGGTTTTGTGTCAGCGAGAAATAAACTTTTGTCATGGCAAGCCACTGAGAAGACACTTGGGCTTGCTGTACCAGTCGACCCGAACTGGGAGAACTGATATTTGGGAAACATTAAAAAATGGTTCCCATGGCATAGGCCCTGGTGGTTTCAAAAATAGCTGCTATAAGCCCGAGTAAAAGAGAGGTCTTTCCAGTTACTTTGCAGGGCAGTGTGGAGCCAGAACAGGAAAGAAAAGATAAGATAGATGCTCTTTAATGATTGTATCTAGCAGACTTCTTAGTGAGTACATACACATAAGGCATCTTTCTGCAGACTCCCAGAAATATTTAAGTAGGACTTTCAGGGCTTGAGGAAGAGTGTATCAACAAAGGAAACTCTGCATTATTTAATATTAACGTGACTGCTTGTATCCCAAAACTCATGACACATGGTGTCTTTAGGTGCTGAGTTGTGGGATCTGTTTTGTTAGGGCAAGGTCACAATTCTGTTTCTAGATGGCAGGAATGATTTTACTTCCTGTCTTCATCCTTATTCCTTCCTTGGAGAGTAAAGTATCACACATTGCTCAGATCTCCAGAAATAATTTAATTTCATTATCATAGCTTTTTTTCTTGAAACTGACTACAGACAGGAAAATGCTTTCTGATGCAGATGTATTAACATTTGCATGCCAAAAAGAGCTTTAGACATGGTTTATACCATACATCAAAATCCATATTATACTTTCTGAACTTGTGAATTCATTTTCAAAAAAATAAAAAACTTCATGGGCCCCAAATCAACAATTTAAGACATTTCCACAATAGGTTGAAAATAAGCATAAACTTCCATGGCCAAGTGGTCAATCCCATGTCCAATGTGAATTTGATTATCTGTACTTCGTTGAAAGTGACAACAATGATTTTATTGTTCCCATGATGTTTCATGTTCTGCTCTTCAGATGTCCTATCATATGAGAAAGAAAACAAAATCTAATGGGCCACCAGGAATCTAAGAAACTATGCCTCTCAGAGCCCTTTAACAGCTCCAAACAATCTTGTAGCAGCCAAGAATATCTTTTCAATAATGTGCCTAACCTAACCATATGACTGTATTTAAATAAATCTCCATGCTACTTCAATTTCCAAATAAAATGGCAAAAGCAGAAAGGCTATTAAAAATCTTGATCAGGCTGGGCACAGTGGCTCACACTTGTAATCCCAGCACCTTGGGAGGTTGATGCAGGTGGATTACCTGAGGTCGGGAGTTCAAGACCAGCCTGACCAACATGGGGAAACCTCGACTCTACTAAAAATACAAAAAAAATTAACCAGGTGTGATGGTGCAAGCCTATAATCCCAGCTACTTGGGAAGCTGAAGCAGGAGAATTGCTTGAACCCCAGAGGTGGAGGTTGTGGTGAGCCGAGATCTTGCCGTTGTACTCCAGCCTAAGCAACAAGAACAAAACTCTGTCTTAAAAAAAAAAAAAAAAAAAAAAAAATCTTGATCACTTCCCCCAGCAACAGAGCAATTACTATTCACATTTTACCCAAGAGCTATCCGTGTGCCTCTTCTTCCTGACCAACAACAGCCCCATCTTGTTTAAGTGGTGGGTAGGGAGCCACTGAGATCATAGAAGATGGGCCCCTATCCAAGCCCCAAGGGAATTAATTGCAACTGGGCTTGTCCTGTTTTCCTTTGCCTGTGACTGGTCTAGAAGTGGGTATGTGGCCCAATTCTGACCCTATGAAGCAAAAGGAGAGGTCTGCTGGGAGACTTCCTGAAATTGCTCTTCCTGGAAAAAGAAAAACAAACAAAACAACCACCACAGAACTTTACAAGAGAAAGCTTTTTATCCCAGCCCCTTCCCACTCTTATTGAATGCAGCTCTGTGAGGACATGATATTAGAAGCTGCAGTAGCTGAGGTGGCAAAAGATGGCAGAACAGAAGAGCTGACGGAATCTGGGTCCTAGATGACATCATTGCATTGCTGCAACTGCCTTCTCCAGACCTCTTGACAGGTGAGAAAATTAAGCATCATTATTGCTTAAGCCCCTTGGAGACTAGATTCTTTTACTTGCTGCTGAATGCATCCTAATGCTACAACCATCTCTTGCCCTGAAACCAACTTGCAAAATTTACAGCACGAACTCTGCCCATATACGAAGAGAATGTAAAAGAGCATTCCAAACATCTCTTTTGGGAAAATAAATGGGTAACACCATTTTTTCCTTCTCATTTGAGTTGTCCTACCTTTGGCAAGTGAAAGTTGAAAAGCAGAATTTTCCCGTATAAATCAAATTTCCGTATTTCCCTCCTGGCAAGGGGTAAGAAACTATTAGCTCACCCATGCTTTCTAATTAGTTAAGAACTGAATTTGCTAAAAAGTTCAAGCCCTACTATTATTGTTTGGTTTCTTCTGCTTAGTTCATTCAGATGAGAGCATCCTTGAAGGTAAGATTTATGGTGGTCACACAGTTATGAACCATGGTTGTGAATTATGACATGTTTCAGGGTTCTGGAGCAGCAGCTTAGTCAGCTATCATCAGAGTCAGTCTGAGGACTCTGGCCCATACCAATGTGAGTTGCCTAAACGAAGGGATATGTCTATTTATTTATTTATTTATTTATTTTTGAGACAGAGTCCTGCTCTGTCACCAGGCTGGAGTACAGTGATGTGATCTTGGCTCACTTGTACCTCCACCTCCTGGGTTCAAGCGATTCTCCTGCCTCAGCCTCCCAAGTAGCTCGAAATACAGGCACGTGCCACCATATCCAGCTAACTTTTGTATTTTTAGTAGAGACGGGGTTTCACCATGTTACCCAGGATAGTATCAATCTCTTGAACTCGTGATCTACCCACCTCAGCCTCCCAAAGTGCTGGGATTACAGGCATGAGCCACCGTGCCTGGCCAAAAGTAAGGGATGTGTCTTTTCAGGACTGAGGGTCCCTATGGGAAACACTGATGAGAGTATGTGGAAAAAATATGTGGTCCTCGGCTAAAAACTGCAGGGCTCAAAGAAGGGCTATTGTAATTCTGTGAGGAGAGTGCCAGGAGACTGAATTCAGCTTGCAATCAGCTATAGTGAAGTTATGATACAGGAAGCTCTGACTTGGCACAAGACTTGGGAAAGGCAATGAGGCAGCAGGCAAGCTTTAAGGGATGAGACTTACCTTGAGGGAGCAAGGACAAGTTGTGACTTTCCCAGTCCTCTCTCTCTCCATTCGCACATCAGCAAGCTTCTGTAAGCAAGGAGGGGTGGACAGTGAAACTGTCTGGGTTCAGCTTGATTGTTCTTTGAGACAGGTGTGGCAAGGGGCTGCCCACAAGGTAAGTCATCTTTGGGCAAGCCAAGTGCTTTGGGAGACAATTGTTTCTGAAATTGTTTGTATCAGACATTCTCTTTGTTAGTAGGAGACTTTTTTTGTTGGATCGTATTGTCCTCAGCAAAAGAGGTTGCAGAGAAGTTAAGGAATTTGGGATAACTTAGGAGTCGCAGTGCTTTGGGGCAATTTAGAGACTGCACTGTGTGATCCTGCCATCTCAGGACTTACCTGATGTTGCCAACTCCCTCACTGGGGGACAAGGTTCTGAAAGGAAGAAAGCGTGTCTTATTCACTCATCTTTGAGTCTCCAGTACTGAGCACAGCACCTCTCACTCAGTTAGGCACTCAGTACATGTAAATTGATATGAAACATGACACATGGTGCCTTTTACAGAACAAAAATTAATTTGTCCTAAAGGCCTCCTGGGATGCAATTCTGAATTTTAGTATCTGTCTACCTTGGGGTTGAGGTTAATGTTTAAGTGTGACAAGAAGGGGTTAGTTTGTTTGAAATAGTTCTTCCTGTGGTGTTTACTGTTAAATGAAATATAATGTGATTCTAATCTCTTCCAAGCCTTTCCTGATTCAAACATGGAAATGTGTTTCTGCAGATTTAGGCACTTCAGCTAAAAGTTCAAGGAAATCAAAAAGGAAAAAGCTTGAGTCATTTGAGTGAAAATCGCAAACAGGATTTAGTATTCATTAAGATGAGAATAAACTACTAAATTTAGATTTACTCATGATTAATTTGTTTGATGTATTCCCTTGGAGAATAATACATGAACTATGATTTTGAATGTGATACAGACACACCATTTTTTACATATATAGCTTTTAAAATTTAGATATATTCCATGTGCACCATCCAGAAAGAAGATGAAATTTTGCCTCCTCTTTCATTAACTTCTTTGGAGGGGAGCTAGATGGAAGCCAAACTTTTTCGGAACCCCAATTGGACATGGATTTTGGATATACTGGGACTGGTGAAGGGTATGGTTGAGGACAGGAGGCATTGCACAAACACACTGCTGGAAATAAATCTACACAGACTGATTGACTTGAAAACTAGTTAATCAGAAATTTTGCCCTGCTTGGGGCAAAGCTAGAAACATTGAATCCCAACCACTGTGAGTAACATGCCTAATAGGAAAACTGAAAGTTCTATTTCTTTTCCAAAATTAAATGGCAGCCAATGTTTGCAGGAAAAAAAAAAAACAAAAAAAACAAAAAAAACACAATGGGGAATTAGGTTACAGATGTTTGCTTAAAAATTCATAACTGATTTTGTTGTTTCTTTAACGGGAACATTGCATTATGCATTCTTTTCCTGTTGTTGTTTGAAGAAAAATGATGAGAATATTATGGTGCAACTGCAGAATACAAGTTTGATAGAACTAATCTAATTTACCTTAATACACTCCTCATTTGGGAGAAGTTATTTAGCTGGTAATTTAATTTAGGTGGAGAGGCACTTTAATTGGTGTTGATTACTGTGGGATTTTTATGTGCAGTATGATGCACTGTTGAGCTACAGCAACACATGACATAAAATTGGGTAATTTTAAGCCACTGGATATTTTTATCCCAACTACAATAGAATTTGCTGAAAAATGCTTATTAACTGAAACTGTTTTCTAGGTTGGGTATTATTTGGAAAATCCTTGGGACTATGTCAAAGACGCTTGGAAATTTGGAAGAGCTAGCAGACCAAAACAAACAAAAAAATTAATTTATTAGGATTGTGGTGGTGATGTGTTGTGGCTTCAGTTCACCCCACTACCTGAATTACAGCAGAGTTGGGAATCATTACTCTGCAGTGAATGGGAATTTTTGGTTTAGAGTTTAACATGTTTTCCTGGTCTTTCTCCTAGTGACTGACACAGAAATATGAAATAATAAACTGATTCCAAAAAAAGCACCTATGTTAACCATTTGGGAGTAAAAACAGATGACAATGTAAAGGCAAATGATGAATGTATCAAAGAGAATGAAGGAACAGATAGCATATATATGTAGGAACACAGTAGCTTTAAAATAACAGAAAGATGAGGAAAAGGACAGAGATGCCAAGTGAAGCAGAGAGTTTCTACGTTTGTCATCTGCCCTTGCATGTCCCATGTTCCCTTATGTAATAAATCTCTAATGGATGCCTTACTGTTACGGAGTGTTTATATGATCAGCTTATGAGAATGCAAAGAAACTAAATAATGGACAGTTAACGTTCTGGAAAAACAATTTATCTTGCTAGGAGCTGGTTTCTCATTGCATTTAGAATAAAATTCAAACAGCTGTAACCCTTCCAGGCCTGATATATCTGGCCCCTGCAAACTGACCTTCACGTCTTCCCACTGCCATCCTCATTCTTCAAGTTCTAGCTACGTTGGCTTTCTTTCATCTTTGGACTTTCTTAACTGGCTCCTTCTGCAAGACCTTTGCCCTGCTATGCTATTTCTCTGGAATGCTTTTCCCTTGGCTGAATTTTTCCGTGCAATTCACATCTTAGTTCAATTTTAATCTCCCCCAAGAGATTTCCCATCCTATCTAAAGCAGTCCATGCCCTTCCCTATCTCTAGGTCCCTCTATCACATTAACTAGCTAGATTTCCTTCAAACCTCTTGAAGTTCCCTTATTTATTCTTTTGAGTTTTTTGCTACTTCACCTTCCCCATAGAACATGAGCTCAGGGGTCTTCTGTTTCATTCATTGCTATATCCCCAACACGTAGAATAGAACATGACACATAGTGAGCAATGAATGAATGAGAAAGGGTAAAGGACTCACAGTGGAACTGCCTACGAACGAAAGGAATACTGGACAAAAAGAAATGGACTAGGAAAGAAAATCAGGAAAAAGAGGAAAAAGAATGGGGTCTAGGTACTGAGAATTAGTTCTAGTGTACAATTTTATTCCTATTAAAAGTTTTTTACATGCATTCCAAGCAGAGGGAATAGTAAGTGTTAAGAGAAAGTCTTTCCACTACCACAGGAAGCTAGTTTTTTACTTTGTTATTGTAGTGGTTTTGTTTTCAGTGTGTGTGTTGGGGGAGGATGGGTGTGAGGGATCCCCGTGTTTCTCTCAGGGGAAAGCTGGGTTTTTCTCTCCCAGGCTGCAGGTGTTGCTGCATCTTCTTAGTGATACCAATGGAGCACTAGACAGGAATACCACCCATGGCAGCTCTGCAGCTTACTGTTAAGACTTTTAGGCCAAGAGGCAGGAAAGAGTAAAGGAATGATCACCACACTGTACCAGGGGTATACTGGTGAGAGGTAAGATGATCTGGATGGTAGAGGTGACTCCCAATTTGTTTTTATCCAGAAAAAGATGGATAAATGCTCTGGCATTGCTGTGGCCCAGGGATCTGTGACCATGGTTGCTTGTGCAGGCAGCAGCCAATACTTTTGAATGGCTACCTTGGGAATATAAAACTATGTGTGTGGGGGCAGAAAACCCATAGTATTTGCCACATCAGAAAAATCCATTCATGAAAGACAGAGAATGATAAAAGTCTTCTCAGCCTTAGCAAAATGGGTGCTTTTATTTTCACAGACATGTCTATGCAAATACACTCAGTCACAAAAGAGAGCTTCTTAAGCCTGACCATAACTTAAACTGTGAAAGGTGAGTGAGCCTGTTAAGAGACTTCCACCCTTCTGGTAACCTATGTCCCTTGATATGGGAAGGATATCTTAGTTCTCCCTAGCTCCTTGCTTAGGATTAAATGAGAGACTTCAGCTTTGGTGTAAAGCTGTCAGCTGCCCTAATCAAGGACAATACACAAAAATTAGACTTCTTCTAAGAATAAGGGATGAAATGAAGGAAGATCTAGAGGCGGGTAGGAACAAAAGAGCAGAACTGAGCCTGCATCTGCAGAAAATGTCCAAGGACAGCAGATCCTAATTCAGCTCAATCGGGAAAAACCATGTTAGTGTGCGGGTAGAGATACTGGACAGGAAGGATGGCCTTAGCCTTCAGCAATGAAGTCAGGGGAGGGGATATCTGCATGCAATCGACAAATGAATTAGAGCAGGAATGTAAACCAGCAGTGCTTCCCTATCTTGGGCCTGGCTAGCTTAAAGTGGCTCCACTGTCATTGGTCAAAAAACTTTCATGAGGAGATCCAATCATTAATACAACAAACTCTAATGAGTTCTAAGTTGGAGATGGTTCAGTTCTAAAGCTTGGGGGTGGACAGGTCACTGAGAGAGGAGGAATGAAGGAGCGGGATCCGAACATTGTAATAAGTCATCTAGGAGCTCTGATCACTTTGGACGTTGCTGGGGGATACATCACAGCTCACTATAACACTACAGCACATACTTATATCTGTTTGTTCCCCCAAGCTAATATGACAATGGGTTGCTGCTATCTTAGCTTACAGAGACATTATTTAGTCCACGTTATACTCAGATTTTACAAAAGAGACTTTGACCACATAGATATTTATAAAATAAATGTGGTTAAGAAAAAAGTGCAGGGGCTTGAAGTCAGAAGAGCTCTGTTCCCATTCTGGTTATGCTGCTGTTCAGCTTTACGACCTGGAGAACAGTTTAGCATCTCTGGGTCTCAATTTGTTCATCTGTAGAGCGTGGGTAATCAACCCTTATGTAATCCCTCAGTGGTCTTGAGTGCATCTCAAGATGGAAGTTCACTGTGGGAATTTAAAAGCAAACTGTGGCACTGAAACACACTGGACGATCGCTTGAACTCGAATATCATCATCCATCCTTATAAAAAAACTTGCCAGTCACTGTCTGGTAAGTACTGTCAAAGACACTTCTTTGTAACTTTTGAGAAAAGTAATTTTCAGACTCTGGTCTTAGAATAAACTCACAAGGGGTCTCATTTTCAAACTGGAGATCATTTCCAGTTTGAACGAACAATTGTTATTTTTGGCTTGGCTGAAAGTAGGGGCAGGTGAGAGCTGAGCTGCACATCCTTCAGAGGTCACAGTGAAAAGTCAGTCTTTATTCTAGCAGTGCTTGGTCTGGAGTAGCTGGTACATAGG